ACATCAGACTATAAGCAAAGTCGCAGACACATTTATAATGTAAACAAAGCGTTGTCATGGGAACGAAGTGCGACGCTACCCCTCCGATCATTTTACTGCGTGGATACCGGCTGTCCGCGTCAGTTGTCGTTAATATTCACCAAGCACTGATCCGGGACCCGAAGACACCAAAAAACAAGTTTGTTTTAAAGACGTTTTATTTAAATGCTTGAGAAACAGATTTTTACGATATAATTAAAACAGGTTATACGAGATTTTAGCTAAACAACTAGGGCGGATATTTTAAGAATGTCTCGTACGATACACACACACACAAAAATATTCGTTTATGTGGATTCTTTCCAAACATTGAAGATGTAATTTTATGTTAAGTTTTAAATTTAAGAAATGAAAAACTTAAAGAATGTTTTAGAGGGGCTCATTTTTAAAAATATTTGTCAAGTGTGGCAAGATAATTAATAATTATTGTTACATATTTTCTAAAACTTCCTTCATGACACTTTTTGAAAATTTTGTTGAATTGATTAAGAAATGACTTCAACACATATTGGACCACGTTTAGCAGAAATAACGCAAACCACATCAGCTATTGCCAAATTTAACTGGGCAATGGACCACTAGACAAGGTACGAATTTCAGCATTCTGATACATGTTTCTTAACCAAAATTTCACTTAAAATACGACGCGCCCAACGAAAATTACCGGAATCAACTCCTTACGAAGATATTTAATGATTCTTGATGTGTGAATTTAAACCACCCGCTCATGAAAACTCAATACTCTATGTGATTCACATCGTGTGCTAAACGGTACCATGACAGTCTCTGCGATATAAAAATCCGGCAACCTCAATCTAGACGCTGTGGCTCAGCTATAGCAAATTGCTTATAGTTTGAACAACACATGGTGGGAAATGAACATTGCTCGATTGAGAAGCTTGCTGAAACCGTTGTAGTGCGCGATTTGACTCACGTAGAGCTTTGAGTTTCTCGTGAACGAACAGTTCAACTTCCTCGTAACCAGTGTGAAATTAAAACGATAATATCTTCGTAAGGAGTTGGTTTCAGTAAATTTCGTTGCGCGAATCGTGATCTACGTAAAATTCTGGTTAAGAAACATGTATAAGATTGTTTAAATTTGTACTTTGTCAAGTGGTCCATTTAATTTTTTACGAGTGAACGTTGGTGCAAATCCCTTTGAAAATTTTAAGGGATTCACTTCGTACTATGCAGAAAATTCACTGATATTTGCTCAAAAATCCACACAACCATTTCCATATGAAAAATTAAATTACCCAATTAAATTCGGCAACAACTGATGTGGCTTGGTTCCTTTCTGCTCAACGCGGTCCTATTATGAAAATGCATCCAATATTACCATAACTTATCTCCTCGAATGTTTCAAGACCTTCAGGCGTTGCTAAATTTCCTTTGATAAAACACGAATTTCCTGGTAAACTTATGAATAGTTTCCTTCCGATTTTTTAGATAGTTTTGTTCGTTTACATTCTTTAATTCTAAATGATTTAGCAATCGAAAAGTTAGAATACAGTAAATAGGAAATAATTCACTATCACCGTAATTTCCAACAACACATAGCAGTGTGTGAACTTACGAGAAAAAAAATGCGTAATTTGCTACTTCAGCGAAATCAAAATAATTTCTAAGGCTTGAATAGTAAAATTTTGAAATGCACTCAGTTTTAAGAATACGGTCTTTACTACTTTTTTCAGCGACACGGCAGAACGGGTGCTTCATTACGTGCAAGCGGAATCGTATTTTCTTCATGAAAAGTTTGGACGAGATTGAACAATGAGTGGCGATGTGGTGGCGAACCACTACGCAGGCCGACCCCAGACATCTTCGGGACCCCGAGAGCTTGAGGGCCCTACATCGACAGGGACCCGTGGACTGCCCGTACATGGTGAATTTGAACCATTGGAAACAAACAATTGGCTGCTGCACCTCAAGTGAGTGATTATAATTTAGAGGGAATGATAATTCTACATCAAACGAGGCGTGCGCTGGAAGAAAATGTCAAATTTCGGTCACGACATTCTTCACAATTTAGACTATGAAATAAATACAAGCGCAGCCCTGGTGAAGGGACCTTGGTGATGAAAAATATCAAAAGCCAGCATCATGGTTGCGGCTCCTACGAATGGCGTGGCATGCCTTGCGATACATCGATTGATCTGCCATTTAAACCTATGGAAAAGGATCGATAAACAGGGTGTTCGCAACGAACACCTTAATGATCGATTCTTTACAATAGCTTCCAATGGGGGAGAATCGATAATCGGTCATTCACGCTTTGCTACTGACTTCTAAGTAGAACTAACTAGATTTTTTGAACTTTTATGTGTTCTCTCTACCATAATTGGTGTGGCAACGGGCATCAAGAGGCTTCTCAGAGGCAGACAAAGGTAATTTTCAATAAGTATCAATTGAAATTTCCTACGCATGACCCAACTTGTTCCGGTTTTAACAATTGTGTAAATCGTATTTAATTGGTTAATAAGAGGTCAATTTCAGTTCTACTAGCAAGACCTAGAAACTCAGAATAATACGTGTTCGTAAATCAGAAAGAAAAGGGAATGGAATACTGGAAATATTAGCTTTAATTTCATTTTATTCATCAGTAAAAATCAGTGGCGTGGTGTACTTCGCGATATATCGATTGATCTGACATTTAAACTGTTCGATCCCGATCGAACAAACTTAGAGCAATTTCAAGAAATTTCATCACACTCATTTTTTATCCCCCCCCCTTCACTCTTGAGGGTTCTCTCAATTTTGCACCGATCAATCACATTGCGCGCCCGCGGTAACTAATAAATTATTCCAAATTTGCACACCTTGACCCGCCTCCCAGATTTGCGCGTCCTTAAAGGGGTCCTTTACCTTCTATTAAATTGAAAGTGCTCTTCCTAACCATTGTATAGGTAACTCGTCTTGAACACCCCTTTTATGTTTCCAACCTTTCTTTCATAATTATCCTCAAATTTATCTCCATTACTTCCATATTTCTTCGCAACCATGAGTCCCATCCATATACAAATTTTCCAAATTTTCACTTTCTTTAGCTTCAGTTCAATAAAAAACCCCCAAAACCTATATATATTTTGGAAGTACTCATTAAGCCCGACCTGCTCAAACCTTTATCAACCAATAAATTTCAAATCTCAACTTTCAAATCCAACTTTCAAAGTCCACGGCAAACACAGATCCGCTCCCCCTGGAGCCCCCCACCTAGCGGCCGTCCCCGCTCTGTTCCTTTTGGCTCTTGCGCGGCGCTCAAGACGTCAGCCGCTCGCCCCTAAGAGTCACTTGCATCCAGCACGCTGAAGAAGACGGACCCGGACCTCACTACGGAAGCAGCTCTCTCCCGGATCAAGAATCGCTACCCGACGCCCCTGCTAAGGTGGAGTACTTGGACTAGGATCAGAACTCTGGCTCTCCTACGTTGGAAAGGACACCTTCCCGCCAAATGCAAGTCCCGTCAACCGACGGTCCACACGAAGCAAAGTGATCACCTGGCGCCTGCCCGCTGTATGAAGTAAACCGACGTCACTCATCCCGGTTCTCTGAAGTCTAGCTTGGCTCACTCCAGTAAACTCTGCGCAGTGATGAAAGGTATGCCACAAGCGCTGCCTCATCACTCTACGTACTAATATTCTTTCTCATTTTAGGTTCAATTCACTCTTCACCACAGGTGTATCGCCTGTCCTGCTTTTGGGCTATCCCAAAAACGTATGCTCCACTAATTGCATGCCACGTTCACTATTTTAGTGAAGGTTTCATGCAATTAGCGGACTTGCTTTAATACGCACCTTCTGTGCCTATTAGAACGTATTATTCAATTATCTCATTTATTATTCCAAAATTTCTCATTATCCCCATCTCAACCTAACCCCTAAATTGTGGAATTGAATCATTCTCGTTTCAATCTCTATCAATTTAGCGGCATGCTTTAATGCAAATCTTCTATTTGCATTAGAACGTTGTTTTCTTTCCCCCTTTCGGCCAATCATTCATTTCAGTCACCTTTTCACCTCTCAGCTCATTTCTTTTCTGGTTTGCTTCTTTACCTCAAAATAAGCTGGTCCCTCGGTTTTAATTTATCCCCCCCCCCTATTTTCTGTTTCGCTCCTTTCTCATGTTCAATTTTTTCTCCTCCTCTTCTTTTTTTTCTAAGTTTTTCCCCTTTATATCGCTCATAAACCTTTGGAAAAGAATCGATAAACAGGGTGTTCGCAACGAACACTTTAATGATCGATTCTTTACCATAGCTTCCAATGGGGGAGAATCGATAATCGGTCATTCACGCTTTGCTACTGACTTCTAAGTAGAACCAAAGCGGCACTACCTAGTGCCTGTTTGTTTTTTGGCGGATCGGCAAAACAACACAGGAAATGTGTCGTTCAAAAATTTTTCTAGTCTCACCAAGCGCTTCCGAATTTCTTCCAAATTTTTCTTGTGCAGTTTTGTTTTGTTGTTAGGTAAAATATTTTGACGACTCTGGTTGTTTCCTTGGAAGTCATCAATTCCGTTTTTGACAAAATCTCTTGATAAGACTATGGTAGAAGTTTTAGCTTGACTCCTAGGCTCGTTTTGAAAATACAGAATCGCAAATGTTTGCAGTTCTTACTATTGAAATGAATGTTGATGAAGTATAGTCTCAAGTAGGTACGTGATGTAGTATCACGCAGAAATGAAGGATAATCCGACCTTTCACTTCTGCCCAATTACTGACGTTTATAAAATGTAGGTATTATTAAGCTCGCATTGTGAAGTGCGGAAATCAAGCGCGTAACTATTCGGACTCCAGGATAGGTATGTGATTCGGTATCACGCAAAAATGAAGGAAATTCTTATCTTTTCACTGGTCTCAAACATTAAAGGTCCATTCCACCAGCCCCCCCACTTCCACAAAAAAATATGAAAAATATGCCATCGTTTTGTAAGTGTTTTGTTTTGCTTTAAAAGCTCTACAACATTAAAAGTTCGGGGTTTCATAATTTTTTGCACATCTACATCTACTACAGATGACATACATGTAAAGATCATCCTTATCGGTCCGGCAGTTCGTCAGAAATAGTGCTTCCAAGATTTTGCTTGTAGTTGTATAATATAGATACAGGGTATAAATTGAAACACCACGCAACGCGTTCCAACTTCAAAATTTCAAGTACACAACGAATCGCACGACGTGGAATCCAGAAATGAGCAACTGAAGAAGAAATAAGTGCTCACAGTTAACATTATTTTCAGGGCAAAAATATAAATGAGATCATTTGTACCGTTGAACCAACATCTGATTTGACTTAAAAAACTAAAGAGTATCCCGTTCAGCGGTTGCTTTCCGAACCTCTCGTTGTGTGCATCATTTTTTACAATAAATTTTGAAGAGAAAATAAGTGCCGTTAATTATTTAATGCAGACCATGTTCATTGGTCCATCTCCTGTCTAAAGCGAATCAACCGGATTTTCAAGTGCCCATGAAATGTAAACGACCTGACCCCTCTTGATTTTAGCTGAATAATAAACGCTTCTCTCAAAACCGCGAGAACAAAAATCGGGGAAGAAAATCTATAACCTGACCTAATGTAACCCTAAGCAGCGTAGGAACACGATTAATCTCTGTCCCACTGAAACGGTCGGAAAGGTTGAAAGGCTGCGGCAACATGGCACGGAACGAGAAAGATCCGGGCGAGATCCGGTGGTCTTTGCGCGGGATATTAGAACGGTGCGATTGACCCTGATAATTTTGGGTGGCCGTATCCCCCTAAAAATTGAGTTACAAAATTTATTTTTGGACTTACAAAACGTTACAAAACACTTACGAAACTTTGGCGTTATCGGAATTTATCGATCGTAAAGTGGGGGGGCTGGCCCCAAAATTTTGGGTAGCCGTATCCCCCCCTAAAAATTGAGTTACAAAATTTATTTTTGGACTTACAAAACGTTACAAAACACTTACAAAACGTTGGCGTTGTCAGAATCTATCGATCGTAAAGTGGGGGGGCTGGCCCCAAAATTTTGGGCAGCCGTATCCCCCCTAAAAATTGAGTTACAAAATTTTCTTTTGGACTTACAAAACGTTGACGTTGTCAGAATATATCGATCGCGAAGTGGGGGGAATACCATTCCTCCAGCCCTTCCAAAATGAATTTATCCATTTGAACCATTTGGAGTGACTTACAAAAATTTTTTTTTAGACTTACAAAACGTTACAAAACACTTACATAACGATGGCATATTTTTCATATTTTTTTGTGGAAGTGGGGGGGCTGGTGAAATGGACCTAAACATTAAGGCCGTTGATGATTATATACGTTTTATGATCGCATATTTAAATTCGAGGATCAAGCATCGAGTGTCGCGCGGGCGTAAAGATTCGAAACCTGCCATAAGTATGAGATATGGTATCATGCGAATATGCAGGAAAATCTTAGCTTTTTACCGGTCTCATATTCCGACGGTTGTGAATGTAGGCTTGGTGCTCGCAGCTTTAAATTTGGATACTAAGCGAAATCATCATCCATTAAAATAGCAGAAGGTTCCGAGATATCGGCCAAAACCCGTGAGAAAATAGTCGTTCTCTATCTTTTTTAGATTTTGTGGGTTTAGAAAGGGGAAGGGGGGAGTAGCATTTTTGGAAGAGGATTGGATTCTCGTTCAGGACCCTTCACAGATGAGAAGTCAGTCAGGCGAAAAAAATAGTTCAGCTCTCGCAACCGCATTAAAACAAAAAATAAGAAGACTTCATTTTGTGACAGCGTGGGGCAGCAAGCACTCCGTCATTCGCTGGAATGACCGGAGCGCCTTCAATTCTTGATATGCAACACGGATGTCCATAGAGTGCGAATAATTGCATCAAGGCGTTATTGCCGAAATAATTGTCTTGCCCTATGCTTGGATATCAATACTGCAGCGTCAAGGAAAATGACCGTATGAACGCTCCAGCGACGCCAAATTTCCTCAAATTAAATACGATTATCCTGAGAGACTTGTAATCTCTTGTTTGTTATATTTACAGAGAGATCTCTGCACAATGGAGATGTTGCATGTGTGAGGGATTTGCGATTTGAAAATTGATTATTATGTAACAGTTCGCGAAAAAGACGATGATGCCACTGATTTTCTCTGAAATCAACTCCCAAGCTCAAAAAAAGCTCTCAAGTTGAGGCCAAAATGGAGGGGATATCCCACGCTATCCTGGAGTCCACCTCTACATCGAGACGATCTCTCCATGCAAAGATAGGGAGTAAATACATTGACAGGGCTGCCACCTTATTTGGGGACTCTTAAACTGAAAGCACGGCATCCCTGCTGACGTATTTGCTCCCTATCTTTGCATGGAGAGTTTGTCTTGATGTAGAGGTGGACTCTCGGGATAGCGTGGGATATCCCTTCCATTTTGGCCTCAACTTAAGAGCTTTTTTTGAGCTTGGGAGTCAATTTCAGAGAAAACCAGTGGCACCATCGTGTTTCTCGCGAACTTTTACATGTGAATCGATGGTCAAATCGCAAATTTCTCACACATGCAACAACTCCATTCTCTGCACAATTAAACTAATATTTCTGACATTGTTTTAAAGAGAGGCTAAATGTTTGCAGATACGTGCGGGGCGAACACGAGACGTGCAAACGGCTGGCTCACACGGAGCTGGCTAAATCCCAGGGCCACAACGAGTATGCCAACTACGTCATGGGTCTTATCCTTCGCATCGAGGGACGGATCCAGGAGTCCCTCGATTTTTTCAACAAGTGCCGTCAGCTTGACCCGAGCAACGTTGACAACGTGAAACAAGTGGCGCGCTCGCACTTTCTTCTCGGTAATGGAACGTTAATTGAACACTTCGTGTCGGAAATGGCCCGTACCATTTCTATGAGGGAAAAAAAACATAAAACAGGTAGAAAACATGAAAAAAAGAAGGGGGAAAACATTGAATAAGGGTAAAGAATATAAAACAGGAAAAAAATATATGAAAAAAAAATTTAAAAGAAGTAAAATTATAAAAAAAAGGAACACCAATATAAAAAAGGGAAACAATAAAAAGGGGAGGAATATAAATAAAGGAAAAAGCGAGGCGTTAAGTTAAAAAAAAACAGAACACAAGAGAGATAGGAAACAACAACAGCCATCGATGGCTTTGGAAAAAAAGGCACAGAGGAAAATAAATAAATATAAATGAGATATCTATACCAAAGCTTAGAGTAGTTCATTCACTCAAAGCACTCAAATTTTCAAAAATTTAACTCTTTGCGAAAATTTCAAAGTTAAAATCATTCGAAAATTTGATACTTACTATTCTCTTCGCTATCACGGCAGTATGACCGGCACAACCAAAGACAAGAGACCCTTCACTGGTATCTTGGCAATGGTGGAAGCTTTTATTACTTACGGGACTTCAGCATTCTACTGTTGACTTACCTACATGGTTGATGTTCAACAACGTGTTGGCAGTTTCGTTTTGCAAACAAGCCGAAAATGGCCGAAGTTAGGGAAACTTGTTTGGCTCATAACGTCATCCGAACCTCATCATCCACCATGTAGGTAGGTCAACGGACGAAATTAGGGCGATGACTGTTGCTCCCTCATAATTGTTCATAAGGAATTGTTGAAACACCGAAAGTAAAAGCTTCCACCTGTTGCCAAGAGGCCATCGGAGGGTCTTTAGTCTCTGGTCTAAAGCTTGCTGCAAGATTTTTGCATTTCTAACCTCAAAATTTCCAAAGTATTTAAGTTTTCTCTTCGTCCTGCAAAATAGTCAGTTTGTAGATACAGGTGGTATCGTTCCTTGGCCATCGATATACATACATATAATGGGCTCAATGGGTGCAAATACACACATTTAGTGTGACGTCACATCTCGATATAGTTTCAATAACTCGAAAGTCGAAAAAAGCCCCATAAAATGAACACAACGTTCGTTCGAAGACTAAGTATTATGTCCCGAGCTTATTTTATTATTAATTCTTGTGAATGTGGACTCAAACGTTTTGGAAAATGACTAGCTTTCATAATTTTACGGTCCCACGGATTAATGTTTTAGTTTTAGGCTAGTATTAGCATTCGGGGTTATGTTTGTTTGTTGGGGCACATTTCGACTTTCGAGATATCGAACCTACAATATCGCTCCGTGACTTCACCACTAAATGCGTCTACCACTACAGCGTCCAGCCCACTTTCAAACTGGCACAAATTCTTCTATTTCTCAGCCATTTCTGCAAGGAATCCCTTGAAAATTGTAAGATCTGATCTGTGATGTATCCCAAACACATCGGTTACCTTCAAAGACCGTCGGGTCGATGATCTTTGAAAGGCAACAGTCAACAGTTCAATCGATGAGCCTCTTTGAGACCCCTTGTTTGAAGGTGGGCTGGACGCTTAAGTCCGCGGGGGCAATGCTGCCGTGCTAAGAAAAACTAGAGTACCTGTATAGCGAGAGTATGGACAGATGTGAAACTCCGGAAATCCATCAGGCCTTCACTGATGCTTCTGCGAATAAAGTTAGGGTCCAGAAATGCAGCCAACCTATGAATTTCCATTATCCAGAACGATTTACTAATACTATTGTTACGAACCGTCGTTTATTAAGCAAGTGTTTGACTCAGTTTTTGCATAAATTTACTCAATTTTGCGGAAGAACGCTCATTTCTGTACATTCTTGGCCATCTTGGTTAGAATTGGAACCTGCAGACTGGCAGTGAAATTTTGTGCGTTAGAATTTGGTTAGAAGGGTGGCTGCACTTTTGGGCCCTAAGCCCTCCATGAAGCGATCTGTCCATACTCTCGCTATACAGGTACTCTAAGAAAAACGCCATATCGACGGTGAAACTACCAAACCACGTATCTCGGTTTGCGACGTCGCAGACTTCCTGTCATACTTTATTTTTTAAATGAAAAACTACTTAACGTCCAGTCTTGAAAATTTCTGTGATTTTTCCTCTTTGTGCGGAGAAAATTCCGTGAAAATTTCAAGGAATGATATTGATTTGGTCTACTTCAAAAAAATAAAATAAGAGCGTAGATTTTTAAACACCGCAAATGAGATACGTGGTTTAGTAGTTTCAACGTCGATATGAGCCTTCGGGTATTGCCAAATTTCCTTTGGGAAATCATGAATTTTCTTGGTCTCTTGTCTCCGAGCACAACTGACGATCTGTGTCGTATTGGCAGGGCGTCCAGAACAAGCTCTAGCGGAGTACGGCTCGGCGCTGAAGCTCGGGCCGCCGGACTGGAGCCTCCTGCACGGCCTGGGGCTCTGCTACGTCCAGCTGGGGCGCCTCGAGGAGGCGGCCGAGGCGCTCACCCGAGCCGTTGAGCTGGGGCGCACCGAGGAGTCGCACAGGGCGCTGGCGCGGCTCCACGCCCGCTCCGAGCCGGGGCGGGCGATCGCCGCCTACCGCACCGCCTGCGCCCTCTTCCCGTCGAACCCGGAGACGGCCGTCGAGCTCGGGCAGCTCCACTTCGAGATGGCCGATACACAGCAGGCCTTCGACGCCTGGGGCACCGCCCTCTGCCACGACCCCGCCCACCCCGCCACGCTCCTCGCCCTCGGCGCGGAGTTCCAGCGCAACGACGAGCCTGAGGTAAGAAACTTCAGTTCTTTCTTAGAGAGAGTTCGGACACCTCGGGTGTACAGGGTGTCCCAAGATTAAGTACGAATATTAAAGGAATCGAGGACAAAAAGACGTTTTTAGAGTAAAACTTTTTTTCCGAAAACGCTGCTCGCCCTTGGCGCAGAGTTCCAGCGCAACGACGAGCCTGAGGTATGAGGCTCCAGTTCTTCCTTAGAGAGAGTTCAGACACCTCGGGTGTACAGGGTGTCCCAAGATTAAGTGCGAATATTGAAGGAATCGAGGACAAAAAGACGTTTTTAGAGTAAAACTTTTTTCCGAAAACGCTGCTCGCCCTTGGCTCAGAGTTCCAGCGCAACGACGAGCCTGAGGTAAGAAACTCCAGTTCTTCCTTAGAGAGAGTTCAGACACCTTGGGTGTACAGGGTGTCCCAAGATTAAGTGCGAATATTGAAGGAATCGAGGACAAAAAGACGTTTTTAGAGTAAAACTTTTTTCCAAAAACGCTGCTCGCCCTTGGCGCAGAGTTCCAGCGCAACGACGAGCCTGAGGTAAGAAACTCCAGTTCTTCCTTGGAGAGAGTTCAGACACCTCGGACATACAGGGTGTGCCAGGATTAAGTAAGAATATTGAAGGAGTCGATTCTTTGGGTCAAAAACAGACGTTTTTTGGAATGACTTTTTTTTCGAAAAACGCTTTCCCTTGGGGGCCACGATTCTCCAAAGTTGGAGAAAAAAAATCGCATTTCTAACACTGTGACAATGTTTATCAACCACACTGTGGGAAAAAAACACATTGGATCTAGAGTCCAGACTCTTGAAAACATTGACAAGAAAAAATACTCTTGATGCAATCGGATTTTCGCTTGAATCAAAACGAAATCCACTTAAATTAAGAGGCTTGGTTCTTGATTTAAGCTGGATTCTGATTGAATCAGGAGTACTTTTTCTTGTCGATGTTTTTAAGAGTCTGGACTCTAGATCCGATGTGTTTTTTTCCAGTGCTCGGATATACAGAGTGTCCCAGGATTAAGTACGAATATTGAAGGAGTCGAGGACAAAAAAGACGTTTTTAGGGTATAACTTGTTTTCCAAAAACGCTCTCCCTTGGGGGCCACGGTCCCCCAAAGTTGGAGGGTAAACATCAAATTTCTAACACTGTGACGATGTTTATCAACCAATATTAATGAAAATTGGAAAATGGGGGTAATTTTTAGCGCTTTTTTCATTTTTGACCTCCAAAAAAGGGAAAACGCATTTTGAAGGGAGTTTAGGGGGGTATCGAATCTAAAAGTGGCCAAAATTAATTTTTCCAGCGACAAAAATTGATTTTTGACGGCACCACTAGATTCAGGGAAAAAAATTCAGATTCCACTTTTGGGAAAAAAATTCAGATTTCTATTTTGGAAAAAAAAGTTTGGAAAAACTCCAAAGCTCAAAATTTGAGCTTTGACACATGCAAAAGCTCCATTGGATTCCGACTTCCAGGTTCCAACGGTTTCACAAACCGTCGTATAAACTATAGCTGCATCGAAGGCAGAGATTCACGAGCGCGACTAACTAATTTTTCAGACTCCAACTCCCCTAGGCGATTTTGAGGTTCCTTGAAACAAAAAAAGGGATCCCATGCAGGTCTTCCTTAAAATTGTAAAGAAGAATGATCGTTTCCAAGAGCATTTTGAAGCTACAATTTGGCACAATTCGGCTTAATACAAGCTTCGGGCTAATATTTACTTTTTAATCTTTGCAAAATATACTTTCTTTTTTTATCTCATTATGCAGTGAGCGAGAAAATTTAAGGCTTGAAGGGATATTTTTGGATTCCATAACTGCAAGTAAATCTTGAACTTCCGGACTTTTTTAAACGCAGGTGCGAGGCAGAGGCGAGGTATGAATGATCGAGATAGAGCAAGGGAATGGACGCGCGTTAATGACGGCGCAGAGATACAACTATTCGTACTTGATGGATGTCCGTGTTGCGTCTTCAAAATTGAAGGCGTTTTGGCGAGAGGCGTGAATTCGCAATGATCCGCTCTATACTGCCAATGAGGTATCACTCACATTCGGGAGGGAGGTAAAAACAAGAGGCAATGGCGTGACGTGAATGATCGATCATCGATTATAACTCCATTTGAAGCTATGGTAAAGAATCGATTATTAGGGTGTTCGCTGCGAACACCCTGTCTATCGATCCTTTCCCATAGGTTTAAATGGAAAATCAATCGATATATCGAAAAGTACGCCACGCCACTGGTACGAGGTCATCTCGTAAACGATGCTTGTTGTGTTTCCAGGTAGCGTTGACAAAGTACAAACTGTGCGCTCAAAGACTACCTGAGTCCTCGTTTCTCTGGAACAACATCGGCATGTGCTTCTTCGCCAAAAAGAAGTTTGTGGCAGCAATAAGCTGCTTGAAGCGGGCTATTTATCTGGCACCACTCGACTGGAAAGCACTCTACAATTTAGGTAAGTGAATGGTTGTAGAGAGCTGCGCGTGATTTGGTTCATCGTTGAATTTAAAAATGCGATACTACTTGGTTTTAACTTTTTGAGCGTTTTTGCTCAAGTACTTACGTAAAACACTAGTCTATGGATTAGTTCCATTTACTTACTTTTGAATTCCTAACAGTTAGATCCTTTACCCAAGGATAAAACTAGGACTGACACTCATACAAAACTGCTATCTATTTAGGAACAAAAGAGTACCCGATACCATATCTCTGAATTCCTCATCGAAATTCACCGTATCGATGACCAACGAGCAAAACCTTGTATCTTTATTTGCGACGTCGCAGACTTCCTGTCATACTTTAATTTCTCTTTGAAAAGTTGGTCAAATTGATTTCTTAATCAGTACAGGGTATCCACAAGTCAGGAATTTCCGGAAAGTCCGGAAATAGTACTGACTTTTTAAGGGCAGCCCGGAAGTACTGAAAAAGGCGGAAATTCCGCAAGAAGGTCCGGGATTTTTCTACTTTTTTCGTCATTTTTGTCTCAATTGACCACTAGACAGGGTACGAATTTAGGCATTCTAATACATGTTTCTTAACCAAAATTTCACGTAGAACACGATTCGTGCAACAAAAGTTACGGAAACCAACTCTTAACGCAGATATTAACCTTTTTATTTCACATTGGTTCCGAGGAATTTGATCTGCCCGCTCACAAGAAACTCAAAGCTCTACGTGAGTCAAATCGCACACTACAATGGTTTCAGCAAGCTTCTCAATCGAGCAATCTTCATTTCCCACCATGTGCCGTTCAAACTATAAGCAATTTGCTATAGCTGAGCCAAAGCGTCAAGACTGAGATTGCCAGAGTTTTACATAGCTTAGACGTTCATGATAACGTTTGGCACGCGATGTGAATCTCGTAGAGCATTAAGTTTTCATGAGCGGGTGGTTTCAATTTACGCATCAATAATCATTAAATATCTTCGTAAGGAGTTAATTTTGGTAATTTTCGTTGTGCGTATCGTGTTCTACGTGAAATTTTGGTTAAGAAACATGTATCAGAATGCTGAAATTGGTACCTTCTCTAGTGGTCCATTGGAGATAAATTTAAATTTTTTAAATTTGTTTAATTTCGTTAAAAATTGGAGGCACTGAAAAAGTACTAAATTTTTCTGTCGAGGAGACACTAAATTTCTTGGGAATGTACTGAAAAATTACTGTAAAAGTACTGATTTTTGGTCATCCTGCTCTAGTCGACACCCTGGAAACTTATGTAAGAATCTTCTGTAGTCGGCCGGTTTCTCCTCGAAATAATAAAATTGGAGTGGACATTTTGAAACACCGTAATGAAGATACGTGGTTTTGCTTTTTGACCGTACATAAAATATCAAACCTACCGGCCGATTATTAAAATTGATAGACAAAGCTATAGACAAAGAAGACAAAAGGGATATGGAGGGATCCTATTGGTGGAAGCAGGTGGTTGCAATGGACACAAGAGGTAGGCAATAGACTAACTAACGGCAACCGACGAGAGACCCTATAGTTAGTCCATCATTTTCTCCCTTAGTCTATAGGAACCACCCATTTCGACCACGCATTTCCATTATCCAAAAGGATAGCTTTATACTTACTCCCTACGTCTTCTTTGTCGATAGTTTGGTCTATCAATTTCAATAATCGGCCCGCTGGTGTGAAGCGGAGGGTCCCCCATTGGCGTCGTCGAGGTTATTCTATCATTTTCCCTCTTAGTCTGTAAAGACCACCAGTTTCAACCAATCGGATCGCTCCATACTCCTTATATCTTCTTTGTCTATAGCTTTGTCTGTCAATTTTAATAATCGGCCCCCTGTCAATTCCCGGTTCCAGGTCTGGTGCACATGCACACCCATCAGTTCGTATCGGCCTTCCACTTCGCGTCGGCCTCGATGAAGCGGAACCCTCTGCACGTGCCCACGCTGCTCCTGCTGGCACTGGCGCTCCACAGTCTGGCCGACGACACGAGCGCCCGGAGAGCCTTCGAGCAGGCGCTCCGCCTCCGCGGCGACAGCGACGCCCCCGAGCTCCGCGCCAACTTCGCCGTCTTCCTCAAGCGGATCGGCCAAGAGGAGGCGGCCCGCGCCCAGGCCGAGCTGGCCATGGTCGCCGCCGCCCGCGACCCCCAGCTGGAGCAACTCCTCCGCGCCGCCTTCGATGCCCAGCCCGAACGCCCCGAGGACATCTCTGAGATACGGGCAGAGGAGGACGAAGTGTAGACGTTCGCTAGAGAACCGCAGTGGAGGCAGGGAAGGAGTTGCCTCGCAGTACCATAACCACCTACGAAATCCTGCAGCCTGCGGGCCGATTATTGAAATTTAGTGTTTGTCAGACGGACATAGATGACATAGGTTAAAAGGCGGAGCGTGAGTGGTCGGCTATGTCTTATCGCTGCTTAAGGCACGACAAAGCAGCGATAAGACATAGCCGACCAATCACGCCTCGCCATTCAACCCATGTCATCTATGTCCGCCCGACAAACACTAAATTTCAATAATCGGCCCGCAGATTGTTGAAATTTTTTGTTTGTCGGGCGGACATAGATGACACAGGTTAAATGGCGAAGCGTGATTGGTCGGCAATGTCTTATCGTTGCTTTGTCGTGCTTCGTCGGGTGGAATTGACGACATACTGTTGGATACTCAAGAGGTGCCTTTAGTTTGTCGTCCGACAAAGCACGACAAAGCAGCGATAAGACATAGCTGACAAATCACACTTCGCCGTTTAACCTATGTCATCCATTTCCACCCGACAAACACAAAATTTCAACAATCAGGCTGTAGGCTGAGAAGGACGGAACGTAGATCATACAACTTGTTGGCGAAATTGTTCAGTCGGGAGACAGCGGGCTGATTATTGAAATTGGACGTATTTATGCTAATTGGAACTACGTGCAACTGACTGATTCGATCATTCTTAAAAAGACTCAAGCGGCAGAGATGAGAATGCACATAAAAAAAACAATGCAAACTGTAATAATTGATTTGTTTTAAATCATAGATTATATGATGATGCGATTAAATAATTTAACCCACTCAAGTTCGAAAAGAGATGCCGCCTCCGAAATCTGAGCTGCATAGAAAGACGTGTAGATGCCCAATTGAAGCAGAGAATCGGCGCCAGATGAGCATCTACACCTGCAATCTTCAAAGACTTGCTTAAGAGGCACCACTGATTTTGATACAGCAAGACTAAGTTAATTCCAAACAGAATGTAACTTAAAAATAAAATTTATATTTTATATGATGCCACTATGCGTCTCATCTCAATTTCTTTTATAGGATTTTCCCCCTTTTTCTGTTTTATTTTATTTCACTTGGGAGATACGTTATACAATAGTATAAATGCAATTCCTGAATCTTGTTGCAAAAATAGAAACAAATACATCCTAAAGTGGGAAGAGACCAGAAGAAATAAAGAAATATGGTTGAAGAGGATAGGTATGGGGTATATTAGTTTAACGATAGGAAAGGCACAAGTAAAAATATGATTACGAATATAGTACATAAAACAATGGACGTCTGATAAATGTTTTTTTTTTTTTTAAAAAAATAGAACGGAATAGTTGTTAAAATTTCACAGGCTCAGGTGAAAATCATCGCTCCAGGGTAGAATTTGTACAAGCTCCGGGGACTCAAAAGACAGATCGGTTTGCGTCATACTATCGATCTGTCGAAAATCAGTTTGCGTGGTCGTTTTTACTAGTTGTGGGTTGCTTCGCGATTTTCTGGAGGAGGAAGGAGTCTCTCTGATTCCTCGTTGAGAATGATATTCAAAGAACCACTTGCTGAGAAAGCCCAGGAGATGAAAATATTCATCATGCATGCACTCAGAAAAGCTGACGTACCTTTTTCGAAAGAAATCAAATAAGCCCATTTCCGGTTCGATATTTACACGAAAACATGGTGGAACTTAGACTTTGTGTTCGGAGACAGGATCTTTTGCAGTTTGCGCGTATTTGGTGAGGGAAATTTCACGTCTGTCTTCGAAACCGAATGGGCTGTGGTCAGGAATAACCTTCGGCGATTTAGGGAGATGGTATCTCGGGGGGATGGAAACGAAAACTATACGGAAGACGTTAGCAGAGTCTGAGTTACAAGGCATTGATGTGTGGACAAGATGATCTTCTGATTTGCATGCGAAAGTTGATGCAATTTCTAATTGTAATATAGACATACAGGACTGTGATGAAACTTTTGACCTTGCTGGGCGCTCTTCGCGGGGATTTTGAAGAGAAAAAGTTTGGTAATTCAGTGTTTGAACCTGCATTGAGCCTTGAAAATCGAACATTTCACAATGAACCGAAATATAAAAATATATTACTTGAAATAAGACTGGGTCGGTAACATTTTGAAGACCAACGAAATGTAAATTGCGCAAATCGCTCGAGTTTGGAAAGAAAGTAAAGAAGAGCTGACCTGTATACAGTTCAACAGTTAACAGTATTAACTCCGAATCTTCAGAGGGAATGTTAAGAAGATATGGCCGAATTGAGTACGTTATCGGCAGATTCTTAAGCAGTCCGAACAGTTCGAATCTTAGTGACAGTTTATGATCAGAAGGCGCACTGAGAGATGATGCAAAGACTTGGAAGTTAAAAGTAGAGACTGCTCGTACTGTTCGTCACGTGAGGTGAAAAAGGATTTCCGTATGTTTTCGACTGATTCTGATTGAGACGTGTGTTTCGAGCTTTTTGAGAAGTGCTTAATTGGCATTGGGCATAAAGTTGATGAATTACACATTGGTAATTTAGCGAGCTGTTTGTTGTTGAAGCAGTTTTCAGCTATTGATAGATCTGGAAATACACATGCAGAGAATGCGGGTAAGATTGTGTTATCTCTTTCCTGTGCTTTGTACTGTGGCGCGCTACTTGCGGTGGGCAGAATAATTGAGCTTGGAGAAAATTCGTGATGTAAAAATCCTTTCAGTTCAAGATAAGTTGGGTTGGACGCTCTGATGAGGGATCTTAAGACCCGAGAGATCTCAGAGGATAAAAACCACAGGGACAGATTGATTGGCAGGTCAGTAGAGCCCGTTGTCCATTTATATAACGTCGTGGGCAGGAATGAGCTAAATGGGTTCAAGTCTTGAGCCGATGCGCAAAACGCGTGCATTTTCAAGCAAATTAACCTCACACCATTTGGCAAATACTCGTTCTTGAAATCAACATCCAAAGTTGCAAAGCAAAAGAAAAGGCTTGGCTCTTGCGTTTGTATGATAAAAGTCGGGACCAAAAAATGATGCCCTGCAACAGGGTCAGTTAAAGCGACTTTTTTACTTTGACAAAATAACATTTTCCACCCGTCGGTTTTATTTCTAACGCTTATCACGCTTAAAAATGGCAATATCTTAGTTTTTTTTAATTCAGGACGAAAATAAAATTGCAGGGTGACCGTTGGTTTCCGGGGGTGGGTGGATGAATGTGCAGCATTGTATTTATCCATTGGCTGGTCGGAAAACAAAAAAGGTTCTTCTACATCAAACACCGTCGAAGGGTTTGACTTAAATCTGGCATTGAGAAAAAGAACGCAGTTTTCAAGTTTTAATAAGTGTTCGGCCAACAAAGGCACTTCGGTTTGGTCTATCTCCAAATTCAGGAAGTATGAAAGTTCAATAATGATCGGAGACTCAGAAAAAGTATTAATTTCTAATTCGGAATTTAAAAGAATTACATCCAAAGCTGACATAGAATCTGGTTCACGATAGCGTGTTTTTTCATTATTACAATAACGATTGCATTCGATTATAAAAATTTGAACAGGCATCGTAATTGGTTTACAATCATTACGCCTTCTTCTTGTCGTGCTAGAATTAGAATTTCCATTACTCATAAAGTAAGTATTTCCAACAAAACTTGCCTCATTGTTCAAAGTTAAGCAGATCAACATCAAATCTTGTCCTGCGATAAAATCATGGCCACTTATAAAGTCACTCATCAAACATTCCCCCGCTGTAATCTCGTTAAAGTCTCTATCACTTGATCGAAAAGCTCGAATAATATTTATAATATGGTTGCATTGTGTAACATCAAAATGAGAAGCGTCACTTCTTAATATCGTTGTTCTACGAAAATTTTGCGAGATTTGATTTTCCACGTGGTCCGAGATCTTGCAACGTTCCTCAGCAGTTGATGGACAAACATATTTTGAAGACAGCACTAGATGGCGGGCGGTATTAAAATTATAATTCACATGATTTGAGGAGGAAGGGGCACAGATTTGGGGAACATGAGTTATCCCTGGAACAAGAACCAAAATATGAAAATAAGGAAAGTGATTCATAATGATATTCTGATTTCTATTCCTCTCCTGTGACTCTTGCGAGAGTTTTAGAATGTCCAAGCAAGTTAACGAATTAAAGTTCGCCCCAGAACCCTTGTTAGCATCCACAGTTACTTGTACAGCCATTCTCAACGGACTTTTACGAGCTTGTAAATATTTTGCGTATCTTTTTAAAGTTTCGTGTTTCAGCTTGGTTTTTCTAAAAGCAGATCCATCAATCAGATAGTTTCCATTCCTTGGGATAATATTTCGGTATGAGGCAAATTTTTTTCGTATTTTTAAAAGATTTTTCCTATTCCTTGATAAACTAGAGCCAGGAACTTTGGGCGCACTATTGAAGCGCGTTTCAATGTTTCTAGGTCGTGGCTCATAATTTTGAGGTTTTGCTCGCAAATCAGTTCTTTGGCCAGTGGGAGAATGATACCCTGGTTCCGTGAGGATAATGTACTTTGAATCGAAAATCTGACTGCCAGTCCTCAAAATTGATCCTCCTTTCAGAGAGTTCCTATTCACTCCTTGCGATAGGTCTGAATCAAAAACATGTTCAGTCAGAGGAGAATGGTAGGTGTAACTACAATTTTTAGCATAGATTTCGGTGGGATCGTACAAGCCACGCCAGTGATCACTTTGTTTTTCAGACTGATAAAAATTGATTTCATATTCTCTTTTTATCTCAGGGCTGTTTACTCCAATTGAAGAAGCATTATGACGTTTTATGGACTCAAAATGACACCTATCATCAAGACTGCTAAAATTTGTACATTCCTTTGAACACTCCAATTGGTTTGATTCGGCAAAAAAATCCTCATCGCTAAATAGCGCTACGTTTTCGCTCGAAACGGCAGTACCACAAAAACTCGAGCTACTGAAATTTTCGGAGTCGAAATTTTCACAGTCAGTTTGGCACTGGTTTGACGAAATATTAGAAGATTTTAAACTGCGGGTTTTTTCTTCTTTGACGCAATTCAATGAATATCTGGTCACAGGAAAATTCCTATTTTCGTGAAATGGCAGGTTATTTTTAAGCTGATTGCTTCCTGTACAACTTTGACAGAAGGTCATGGAACCCGAGTCTGGAATCAATATTTCAGACCCTGAATCAATGAATGTATTTTTATTCATGCCAAAAATGTCGTTATCAGCTCTGTTAAATACACCATCACACGTAATGGCGCTATCTTCATGGTTTTGGCAAAGATTCTGATCATTTTGTGTAGTGTCAACTGCGGAGGACTCATATATCTCTGCAGCGAGGTTGTATGAGTCATACTGGCTTACAATGCGAGATGAGCGCTCGTGATGATTTAATAAATTTAAGTTTAATTGATTCACAAAAGGAAGTGATCTGTCGCTTTCATGTAAGTGGCCAAGATTATCTGAGTAGCAACCTTGGATTGGATTTTCTATGAGCTTTTTGTCGACATAACTTACATTCTGAAAACTGACTTTGTCTCCCTTCTGGTAGCCAACATTTTTTAGATCGTCAAGATCTTTGGTTGCAAAATGGTAATCATGTTCGGAACTCTCAAGGTAATCATTAAAATCTAAGCTGTCATACTCCATAAAAATTAGCTCTCCGTCGTCAGAGCTAATGCTTGCCTCCAAACTAGCATCGCTTTCACGACCGGAGAAAAGTCTATTTTTACACGAGTTGGAAAGCGATTTAATGAACACCTCACTATTGCATACCTTTGAAGTATCTTCACTAGATGAGGAGCGTGCCGTTTGTCGCTTGGCTTTTGAATTTGTGGGTCGTCTCTCCGCAGATGTTTTACTTTCCTCCTTCGTCTGGGCTTTGGGTTTGATCTCGCTGGTGCGTTTTGTCGTTTTTCCGCTGCGGCGTCTCTGGTTTCCAACAGGATACATGTAGTTGTAATACGAACTGCACTTCTTAAGCTTTCGACTCTGCTTCGGACTCGTTCGAGATGGTGAAGCTTCGCTTTGGTAAAAAGACGACGCCCGACCTGACGTCTGGAGCTCATTGCTAGAAGATATAGCATCCTTACTCTCACTGGGTGACATTGACGTACGTATTAATTCTGGTTCGGACTCGCTCTTGCTGCTCAATAGAAATTGGTTTATTTTGGAGAATGTTGCATTTGGAAGACATTCTTTTGCTTTCCGCAGGACTTGCTGTTTGATGCGGTCGATTTGGAGCTGTGTATCATCAAAAAGACAGGGTGACACTTGCTTGGCATTGATGTTGCTATTGATTTTCTCGTTGACCTTGGCGAGCTCGGCTTCTGGTAAAATTTCGGAGAGTTTGTTAAACGGGATGATTTTGGCATCTGGTAAGGATTTTGCCAGCATCTGGCAGAACTGCATACTAGCCTTGTTGTCGAGAGGACTTGTGAGGCTCAAACGTTGCGAACTCTCTAATCCCAGTGGAGTTAGCCTCGGGTGACAAGACAAGTTCAATTCTGATAGTCTGCGATACTCATGTTTTGAGCCATTATTTGGCGCTTCCAACTGTTTTCCACTAAGATGTTTAGGTTCGGTAATTTTTGTAGTGAACTGGTCGCAATTAGAATGACGAGGCCTCATTTTCGGATCCGAAAATTTTTGATCAAAATTCTTTGACAATTTTTCCGGGTGGAACCTTTCTTGATCGCACCGCTTCGGCAAGATTTTTTCATCAACGTACCTTGACACCATCTCAGGACTAAATAGTTTTTGGTTGAAATTGGTATGTTTTGTAACTGCTGAATCAGGACGCGTCTGAAGTAATTTAGGATTCCCTGTTTCGAAAGATCTTTGATCACAGCGATTCACGACCATTCCTAATTCTGGTCTTTTTCGATTTGACCGATGACAGCTTGGCACCGGCTCAAATCCTGCACGATTGATACTTCCCAAACTTTTTACTTCCGATCCAATCATACTTTGAGGACAACGTTGATGACAGGCGGTTTCTGGGGGTAGTCTCTTCCACGTACTACTCGGGCAACTAGAATCTACCTCCCACCGTGCCTGCATGCCGTTTGCTTTGCTCGGACCAAAGCGTTCATAAACTTGAACTACTGGTCTTATTGTTTCTTGATCGCACGCTCCGAAGCGTTTTACTTCTGGAGCGAATCGTTCCCGACCTCTATCAAAACTCCTAGATTCAATTTTCGGTTGGCGCGATATATGGTCTCCATAATCTTTCACTTCGCGCCCACAACTCTTCGGAGTGGTTCTCGGATGGGCACCTACCCCCGAAATACTCCGACCAAAGTCAGAGTTAATATTGCTTTTCACCGTTACTGTACAAGGGCTCCGATGCCTATTAGATCCATGATCTACTGAACCGTGCCAGCTACTAATTGGTTTACGAGCTGGGTTTGAGCCGGGCTTGGCTTTGAATTTTCTTCCAATTTCACACGTATGAGCACTTTCAACTCCGCAACTACTGAAATTCCGGCTAGAAGACGTTTCGTAATCATAGAGCTTCCTCAGCTGCTCTTCGTTCATTTCATCTAGATTCAAACCTCTCAAAGTATCCTCTAGATCACTGGAACTCGGTGTTGCCACCAATTTACCGCCGATTTTCTCGACGGCGGTCCCGTGATCTCTGCAGTGATCGAAACAATCCGTCGACCATTTCCGATCGGAGACGCCGAAAATTTTCAAACCTCGACTTTCCATTTGGTTTCCTATTTTACACTCGTCGTTTGTTTGAACAAGTCTGTACCCTATGTCGTGATATTTTTCATCTTCCAGATCGGCGCATATGTCAGGCGTTTTAGAATAAGCACGAAAAGCCTTAGTGGATAGTTTCGGAGTACTCGTTTCGAATAGATTCTGACCACCCTCATTTGTTTGATCGGCTTTCATTCCCAATGCGGTTTGATAAGCCAGCATAGTCTCTGCGGACAGTTTTTGAGGGTTTGTGCCGCCGACACTGCGATTATCTTCGCATGCTACTTGATCGGTCTTGATGCCAAGTGCGGTCGCGTAAGCCTTCAGGGTTTCCGAGGACAATTTCTGGGAGGCAGTAGAAAAATTTGGAGGGGGACATTCTACGGAGGATTCAGTTGCCATGAAAGTAGGCCCGTAAGAGCTTTTCGCCGAGGGGCTCACCTCCTCAGACTTATCGAGATTTTGCCGCTGATTGATGTTCGACTCCTCCGATTTCCCGTTCCGTTTTTTACTGGTCTTCAATGACCTCCGGCAATCTTTCGGAGATTCTAAATACAGAGTTTCAACTTCTTTTGGGCGTTTGTCAGGCCTGGAAACGGTCCTCGTAGAAAATGCAGAGCGATTTTCATCTCGTAGGTTCCGTCTATTTGGCCTTCCCTTTCTAAATATACATTCTTCTGACGACGAGAGACTCCTCATCGTTTTGATTTTGGCCTTTTCTCCCGGAGATGAAAGTAATTGCGTTTGTAGGGAGAGTCAGAGTCAACTAAAACATCTACTGAGGGAAAAGAGGGTTTTAAAGAGGATTAATTAAGGGCTGGTGGAAGGGAATGTTTGACCACCCATCAAATTATTATTATTATTCTTGACTCAAACACCGCACTTAAAGGAAAACAGCAATTCCTTCGTAGATGAATAAGTCAGTCTACTTGCAAGAAACTTCGGGCGATTGATAGTAATGACTCAAGCATTACTGATATTAGAACCAGAAATACCATATACTTTTGGTTGATGATCTTGACGAACTAGCGTCCTTCCCAGCGTCTTTTCTCTGCATACTAGAGTTTTTACTCTCTTTATTTCAACTACTCCTCCTTCTGTCGTCAAAATCACCATTCAAAAGTTGTATGTGCATGCCTCAACATACTTTAGAGGATTTAGTTGTATTGAAGAGAAATATATATTTGGAAAAGAATATTTTTGCAAGGAAACTGACGGAAGTGTAGATAGTTGGTAAAATTTAAGCCCAAAATTATTCACTCTCGTTTGAAATTTCATATTTTTCAGACGATTCATTGTAATACTTTTTGGAATCACTATAATTTTCTGCTGGATAAAGAAATAAAGGAAAAAAAAGTGGAAACAGTAGGTTGTTACATCGAATGTGAAATGCTGATACTGAAACATGAAAAATATGGGCGAGTGCTTGAAAACAAACCTTTAGAGAGACGATGGACAGAAGATTAATGCTTTCTAGGATGGTAGTCTGGTGGCGTTTTTATCAGTACTAATTGAGATGGTTGTTCCCGCAGTTAAGAATTCGTCAACGATCTGCCAATAACAAGCACAAAAAAAACTTATTAATGAAATGATAAAAGTATGGACCAAACAGAGCTGCGTAAAAAAATAAAATACGCAAATAAACGAGAAGGAGAGGGAGAGAGCGAGAGAGAGAGAAAAAACAGCCTACAGTAATCTCGCAATATTGTCAGTCTCATTAGAAAGTTAGGCAACATCAAACTAAATGAGGAGTACGGAGTACGTGCCCCAATCGCTTTGCGGTTGGGCCTGCAAAACTTAAAGAAGGCAAAAAAAAATCTTGGAGGAGAGTTCCCATGACAGTTACAGTAATCGTTTTACGATTGCAGATACCAGCTTATTTTGTATCTTTAAAATGTAAAAATAAACTTCATTAATTTTTAAGAGGTATTAACCTCTTTGATACGTAAGCAAGGAGGTATACTAAGGGTCAAGGAATGATTGGTGTCTCTTAAACGATGAGTCGGAAGGTTTCAAGTCATTGCGCTCTGATTGAGCGTATTTCATTGGCGTCGAGGAGGAAGGTGCATGGACCATCTTGATAGCACTCGTTTTGAAACAATGCATCAGAGCGTTATAAGACAGCAAGTTATTAAATTCAAATGTCTGAAGATCATACGCTATAACGCTAAATCCATGAGCCTCGGCTCCGAGACCCATATGAATACATGAACGACATGGCCCGCATGGATTCTTCATAGGAACACATAGGTGTATCATTTTATTTTTACATTTATTTTGGTTGTAGCCCCCCTAGCCTCCCTTAGGGGATAAAATAGAGGGCACAATTTCCCCCGACTTTTGACTTTTTGCCTTCTCCATTTACCCCCCAAGAGAGAATAGGCCGGGGCTTTGGGGCCATAAAAATCGGATTCCTTGGGGTCGATTACCTGGTCAAGCACATTTATCCGGAGAATCTGCGTCAATTTTTGACCAAAGGGAAATTATGGAGGGAGCCGCTGTCCCCCTCTTTAAGGGATCATTTTTGGGCGTAAAGTGGTCCAATTTTGAACTTGTAGGGGTCGTTTTCACGTGAAATTGTCTGTACTTTTCAATTCTAATGAAATCGAATCGAAATTCAATCGAGAACCCCGACTTTTAAGATCGTGATCCCCCTTTATCCCCTCCCTCCCCGGGAAAGGGGAGCTGGGAGAGTTTTGAGACTATGAAATTCGAATTTCTTGGGGTCGATCCTTATTCAATCCCGCGGACCCCGTCTTCGTCCGACCTAAATCAACCGAGAATAAGGCCTGGTGCGGGGTGCGGGTGCTCTGGGACACCCTGTATCACGTTTGCAGTCTGATAAAAATGATAAACATATAATAATTATCACGCGATTGTTGTCTTCTACGTTTCTTCATATCGTTTTCATTCCTCTGTGGCACTTCCTGGCATTTCCTCTGAAATGCACTGTGGCACTGCGGCAAGGAGCGCCGCTTAGAAGCGCCAGGCGCTTCCAGGGTTTGGTCCGTGGAGCAGCCAGGGGGCGCGTCCCCTAGTTTTACATATAAATTCATGGTTTCCGGGCCTCGTGCGGGAATCGAGATATGCATTTACACCAGAGCAAGAGCAACGGCATTTACTCATGGTGAAATATGAAACACTTTACATTAAGTAAAAAAAAAAAAAAAAAAAAAAAAACTTGGGAATACTTTTATTCAGCCATTCGAATCGCGATAAAAGACAATCTCTCTATCCAGAATCAAAACGTGATACTTAATTTGTTACCAGTATTTGTATTCCTCTCAAGACAATTGAAAATAGAAATTTTCAAGTTTTTAAGAAGCCAACTTGAAGTAGCATTAGGTAAATTTTCAGAAGGCGAGAGCTTTTTAAAAATTAAATTTTTGAAATATATTGATTAAGATTAAAACTCATTCTTTTATAAGAAAAATTAATTATTATTGATAAGTACATTAAATTTAATGGTTCGAATGAAAAGGGTGGATTAGACTTCATTTTGCAATTAGGAAATACAATTTCTGGCTCACTTGTAAAAATACTTACATACATGGAGGAATTAATGGTACACACATTGTTTGTAAACAGAGCAAGAAATTTTAGTTCCAAATTGCAAAATGAAGTCTAATGGAGGATTGAGCAAAGAAATAAACACTTTCTAAAAGACTTGCAATACATGTGCATAAATTAAACATGTATTATTCAGAATTATACGACTTTATTTACTTGCATTTTGGCCCCAACTAGCTAAAAACATATAACAAGTTTCTTTTTCTTTTCATATTTCTGAGAGAATTACTGAGAGTCTTTGAAATTTGTTTTTAATGGCTCTGACCTCTAACTGGCAGAGAATACCATACATGGTATTCTTTAAAAAGAAAAAAAACCTTATAAAAAAGAACAGATTTAAAAATAATGAAAGATGTGAATAGCAACAGCAATTGATGTCGCCTCCAGAATATGACAAGCAAAACACAAGACTTAATTATGTATGGGATAAAACAGTGATGAGGGTAGGACTAAAATCTTGAAAATGTATTCTCTCTTCACCAAGAGGGACATTCGCTCAGAATACATTTATAAAATGGTGGTTTATGAACAAAATAAAAGCTGAAAACACTATCAAGGATCATAAAAAGATGGTAACTTAACTAACAACATGTTAAAATCATTAAAAAGTACAACAATGATAAAATTTGAATTTAAACAACAACAAAATTAAAAGAAATACTTTTCCAGAAAATGTAACTGGTAGATGACGAACATGAGCGGACGAAGCCAACTTTTACAATTAAAATAAAATAAAAATATCACAAGTTCTGTATTTAAGAGGAAGCTTGGTATCCAAATAGTTGTTAACAACAAAATTAAGGGGAAAATTCCGACTGCCATTACAATTTGGACCGCGTTTAGCAGAAACAAACCAAGCCTTAAAAGCTATTGACAAATTTAACTGGGCAATTTAATGTTATACAAGAGAAAGTTTGCGCGAATTCCTCTGAAAATTTCGAGGAATTTACTACGTACTATGCCAAAAAATTCACTGAAATTTGCACAAAAATTCGCATGACCGTTTTCATGTAAAACCTTAAATTGCCCGAATAAAAGCAATAGCAAATGTGGATTGGTTTTTTCTGCCTAGCACGGTACATTTAACACACTATTAGCGAATGTTTCCTTTATGAAACGCTTCCTGTTTCTACCCCTTCGTTACGGAGTGAAGTTTACCAAGGGTGGGCTCGTTTGCCGTCCAAGAAACCTTGCAAAGCTTCGGCCATTGCTGCGTATTTTTCTGCTGGCGTCTTCCTCTTCTGTGGAGGTGGACTATCGGGTGATGGTATCAACATCGGTATGATATAGAGTGGATCGGCATCCGCATAAGCAAGAGACTTCGGGCATCCGGCATCTTCCTTGCTTTTTGGTGGCTGCTGATGCTCGGCCGATGGACCCGGCTGGTTTTCGATTGACGCGGAACTGGTTGCTGAACTTGACACTGGATTGTTGTTGTTGGTGTCTACGGGCTCTTCCTTTGGTTCCGGCTTCTTTAAAGATCGATTTGATGACTTAACCTTTTTTACCCTTTTACCCCGTGCATTAACCTTGCGCGATGCCTGTTGTTTCTCGCAATTGCAAACTGAGAAAAAATAATAATAAAATAAAAATAATTTAAATCAAATAAGTTATGGTTATAACTGATGTATGAGTGTGAAGTGAGTGGAAATAGGTCATGGCCCGAAAATTAAATGGTCTAGATCAGAGCTGGGTTACAAAAATGTTCACATATTTTGAGTCTAGTTTGGAAGAAGCTATAAAATATTCATGGAAGCTAAATCGAAAAATTGGTCCTAAAAATTAGGGTTTTATGCCACTCGAAGGTACAAAGTATTTTCAGATTGAGACATACCCTGGTAAAAATTGGCGATAAGAGCTGCGTTTCAAAATACCATAGGAATTCTTATAACCGGCTAAAGAAGGCTACAGAAAATCATATAGCTGGCTGTAGAATGCGGAGAAAATCATATGGCCGGGCTATACGAAGCGATAAAAAATTATGCAGCCGGGATATAGTTCCTATCGCCGGGCTTTACACTTTATCGCCTGGCTGTTGCTTTTTCGCCATCGATTATAAAAGGCTATAAGAAATTGTGTAGAAATTCGTGTGCTTTGGAAATCATTAAGTTTGATACGGAACCACCTTAATATTTACAAAACACACATTATATTTTCCTTCAATACATATTTTTTTTCATCAATTAAAATGAGAATAATCCATACAGGATGTGCAAACATTTTAAAGTCATGAGTTGAATAACGCTGACTCCGCCAGATTAAATATTAGAGCCTAACACAAAGCGGAGCGGCGACGCACTGGCGCCTACAAACCTAACAGGGATACTTCACGCATTGCGCAACGCGTGAAGTATCCCTGTTAGGTTTGTAGGCGCCAATGCGTGTTTCGCGCTGGCTGCCCGCCTGCCACAGCGCTTGAGGTAACTTTTTCACACCAGAGGTATTGCACAGTATCATACGAAACTGAAGGCGCTCTAATATATTAGTAATGGCAGGCATCCATCAAAAGTACGGAGCTTACCTCTCAAAATAAATCAAGATACTACGGCCCAAAAAGAGAGCAGTATTCCAAAAACTCACTAAGTCCGTAATTAGTAACGTTTAGCATACACTTTATCGCCTGGCTGTTGCTTGATCGCCATCGGCTATAAAGGGGTATTAGAACTTGTGTAGCCGGCTATAGAAGCTATTGGAAATCTTACAGCCGGCTGTAGGTCTATGGTATTTTGGAACACAGATTCTACTGCCAATTTTTACCAGAGTACCGACATTTCGAATGATTTACTCACGTTGCTTGGCCTACATCGACAATGCAACTCCCAAACCATGTACTTCGTTTGCAAAGTGTTACAATTTCCGCTCCTACTTTATTTTTTTCTATGCATAAAAATCGGCAACATTCCTGCCGTGATTGCGAAGAGAGCGGTAAGTGCAAAAATTAAGTCTTGGGAAAACTGGCTCAGAAGCGCCTGACCGAAAAA